AGGATGGTGATAATGCCACAGTTGAAAAGTATGTAATTATTATAAAAAGGCTACTCTTCTTGTTGAACAAAAACCCCAGATATTAAGACAGTAGAACTATTAAATTGATTGAAGGGTGTTTACTTAAAAAAACCTGTCCTTGCTTTACAACGGTATAGCACTTAATAGCCAGTGGCTAGCAAATCTGTGGACCTCGTTCCATGATCAGTTGAAATTTGGGAGTTCATAGCAATACTAATAAGATGTTTATATAGCTGGATTTTATTTGTTATCTTTATTTTTCTTTTCTTTTTTTCTTTTCTGTGTTGTTTATAGTGATCTTGGTATATTTAAAAGAAACCTTTCTTCTTGGCTAAGTTCAAAAGAAGTCAGTCAAAACACCATTGATATTATTGACAGTAAATACTGCCAGACTAATGGAGGTACACTGGACATCATTGGAGTCCTAGAAAGTGCTTATGAAGAAGCATGCTGGGATTATGGTGGAGAAAATTACAGGTAATTTGTACTTTTTACATAGAGAAGGGGACTGTACAAATGTGTCATGCCATGATCATGTTGGTCACCTCATGTCTGTACATTCTCACCGATCTAGTGTTCTGTGATTGGTTCAAAGACTACCATCAATAGACTTTCTTTATTTTGCTTTACCGACCACAAAACAATGTCTACAAGTGGAGATTGAACTTGATAAAAGGCAGTAAATGGATAAACACACAAGGTCTAACTTTGACTCGAATGCATTGTTTTGTACAGTGGTCACTCAAGTGAAATCAGGAAAAGTTTACAGTTACTGCAGACTTTTCTGAATTTGAATTTGATGAACGTGGAACGTTCTGGTCTAGCTTGGAAGCATACAAACGACATCATATAAGGCATGATGGACAAACAATGTTTGTACCCAAGATAGACCACATTTGCACCTTGTTTGAAATCTCAGAAAAGGTCTTTGATGATGCCTGATATTACCTTGCCTTTTTGCAGTCATTTGAAATCTCTTCAGTCAGTCATCAATATTCTCAAACTATTTAGTCTTCATGGAGGGGGTATTTTAAACCCTTTTTCAGGTTGGAAGGATCATATGCAGTTTTAATTTCACATTACCTTGAAAAGTGTGCAAAAGTGGAGAAAAGATTGAATTGGCCTGTGAAGGAGGTCAAGTGGATTGGTGAGACATTCTTTATTCATACATAATGTATTTATATTATTTTGCAACTCTAAAGGTGGGTGCCTAGCCATCCAATTCACCCCCCTGGATGGATCCACCCTTGCCCTGACCTTTCATTGATCTCCCCAT